TTCTTCTTCTTCTTCTTCTTCTTCTTCTTCTTCTTCTTCTTCTTCTTCTTCTTCTTCTTCTTCTTCTTCTTCTTCTTCTTCTTCTTCTTCTTCTTCTTCTTCTTCTTCTTCTTCTTCTTCTTCTTCTTCTTCTTCTTCTTCTTCTTCTTCTTCTTCTTCTTCTTCTTCTTCTTCTTCTTCTTCCAGTTTCATCTGGCTAAAATAAAAGGTCATGTCCAGTGTTGTAGTTGTTGTTTGATTGTCTAGATTGCCTAAGTTCTCAATATGTTGTGTTTGTTGATCTTTAGCATCCTCCATCTCAGTGTTGCTTTCTTCAATTTCTGTTGCTTTTTGAGTTGCAGGTTCTTTAGTTGAAATCAAGGTTTGACTGTCAAAGTTCTCAGTAAATTGTACTTGTTGTTGTGTAGAATCCTCTTTGATATTAATTTGTTCCTCTTCTGTTGTTTTTTGGATTGTAAGTTCATCAGTTGGAATCTGGACTTCAATTTGTAATTTTAAGGTGACATCTTTGTCTTTCACTCTGGAATTCATTAGCTCAGTGGCTTCAAGGATTTTTTCAAGTATGAGTTTATAGTTAAGTTTTGGGTAAAATTCCTCCATTTCTATGGTGATTAGAGATAGTTCTTTAGTAGAGGCTATGTTTAATAAAAGTCAGCAAATGTCCCCTCCACTATTCCTAGAAGTTGTTTTCACCACCCAGCTGTTTCAAATTCTTATCTTTTTTAGATAGTATGAAGGCCTCACAGTCAAAGAAATTCACTTGCTGTACCAGGCTTCACCACAAGATGTCCCCGATAGCATAGAGAGACAAGTTAGGCTTTTATCCAGTTAAAAAATTTTTTCCCTCCAACGTAACAAATAGATAAGGTAATAGGTCCCTGTAACAATAGGAACTTTTTGGGACCCCAAATATCCAAAAAGTACAAGTCCAGTTATTTAATTGTTTAGATTAGTTGTTCTTTTCTTTTCAAAGCTTTAGTTTCCCAGGGTAGGCAGATGCCGCTATGTTAAAAGTGGGGAAGAAATTTCAGAAGGATTTTACAGGAAGGTAGTTGGGATACAAGAAAGATAAGGTAAGGTCTCACCCAATTCTTCCACGGTGCTTTCGTTGTGCTTGGTGGTGATTTTGGCTTTCGGCTGGCACGGCTTAATGATCGGCCATGTTAATAGCCGATCTTTTCTCCAACGGTCCAAAGGAGCTGCCTCGGATCCAACAGAAGGGCTGACGTCCTTCCATAATCTGTTGAGGGTCCTCCTCATGGTCATCGCCCCTCCAGGGTGACTTACAACTCTTTTCAGGGTCGCCTGACGAAGGGAAACTGGGCGGCGGAGAGAGCGCTCCCCCCGCACGTCCGCTGGCACCGCGATCCGGAACCGGAAGCCAAATTTGCATAAATGTTTGATTTTCAATATGTGTGTTTAGAAAATATTTTATGCAAAAATATTCATTCAATACATCAAAAAGGTCAATACTGGTCATGTCACCTAGTTCATTGGATGTGGGCAAAGCAGCCTTTGAATTAGAAATACTAGCTTACATGCAATAGTTTCAGTAGTTTGGCATAAAATTGTCAGGTGCAAATAGCTAGACTCACATGTGAGAAGTTTAATTAGCTGTTTCATTGCTCAAGCCTATATATAGAAATCTCCTCAGATCGATATTTTGCACCTAGTTGAAACTAGATAAAGTTCAACAGCATTCAAAGAAGATTGGACTTTGCCCTCTTGTGCCTATTTAAAGACTCTAAGCTAATTCCTCCTTTGAATTTTTCCCTTGGCTGGGCAGTCTCTCTCCTACAAAAACTGGGCTTTAGTAATTCCTAAGGCATAGTGGCCAAAATGTGCCAAAACTGATTGGTATTGTGTACTTACATGGGAATTTGGCATATTACATGAGTATATCGTGTTTTCCCCAAAATAAGAGGCACCGGGTCTTATTTTCGGGGGATGTATTACACATTTATCTTAGGACCGCCGCAGCCAGGCCTCCCACTCCCCTACAACTTTTGCGCCTCTGCCCAAGTTCTTCTGCAGCCACCTGCCTCATCATGCCACTCATGCTGCTCCCGCTGCTCGCAGCAGGAGGCTGCATGGCTCATTGCGCTGATCGTGCTGATCGCACCGCTGCTGCCACTCGTAGCAGGATGGTGCTGTGATCAGCGGCAGCGGCGCAATCAGCATGATGAGCCATGTGGCCTCCTGCCACGAGAGGTGATAGCAGCGCGAACAGCATGACGACTCACGTGGCCTGCTGCTGCGAGCGGTGGAAATGGCATGATTGTCATGGCAAACCATGTGGCCTCTTTCTGCAAGTGGTGGCGCCAGCACAATGCACCACGTGGCATGCGCAAGAAGTGGTCGCAGAAGAAATTGGGCAGCAGCGCGACAGGTGTCAGGGTGTGGGAGGCCTGGTTGCAGTGGTCCTAAGATAAGCGGTTGTGGGGCATGTGGGGCAGCTCCACTCCCCCATCCCCACCCTAGCTTGATTTTTACATGTGCACCTTGCCCCAAAGCTAGGGCTTATTTTGGAGGCAGGGCTTATATTAGACGCAAATGTAAATTTCAAGTTAGGTCATATTTTGGGTATAGGTCTTATTTTCAGGATAGGTCTTATTTTGGGGAAAGCGTGGTAATAAAGGCTGGTAACCAAGCACCAAAAATGTTCCAGCAGTTTTGTCCATCCTACTTATTTATTGTTCTGCTTCTCTCAGCCCTTAGGCTTTATTGAGCAGGATCTCCATCTCCCAACTTCCTAGGCTCCCCAGAGTGAACAGAAATGCATTCTGGGGAAGGGATGGTGTTAAGTAGTTAGATAGATTTCTCATTAATGCAACATGTTCAATTGAAATTTCAAAAACTACTAGAAATTATAGGGACAGAATAATCTTTACTTTTCATTTTCTATTGTAACTATGTAAGTTGAGCTAATTTGCATCTTTCCTATTTGTTGTTTTATTTGTATTCATTTACAGAAAAAACTGTATTGGAAAAACTACTGAGCAAAACAGGCTATACATTCTTAGCACAATTTCAAGCATAAATCTTCATAAAACTACAGGGTTTTTTTCGCTAGTATTTTGTTATTGAGAATAATTTCATTCAATTTATCTTCTTACCTTTTAGGAGAACACAAAATCCACTTCATCCCAGCACTGATTGGCCCTTTCTTAGAAGTGACACTGATACCTCAGCCTGACCTGCGGAATGTTATGATTCCTATTTTTCATGATATGATGGACTGGGAGCAAAGACACAGTGGTAACTTTAAACAGGTATTTTTGTCAATTCATTAGGGGAAGATAGATAAATTAATTTTTCAAGCTAATCATTCTTAGACAACAATACATCATTATGTTATGCTTGCTTACTTGTTTCATTTAAAATTATAATCTAATCAATTATTTTCCTGAGTTAGTATATGTTAATTTTACAAATGGTAAAAAGGAAAAAAAGTGTGTGAGCTTGACAAATGGATAAGGTTATTTATGATCATCAAACACATAATTTACTACCAGCACTAGAGAATAGAATAGAATAGAATAGAATAGAATAGAATAGAATAGAATAGAATAGAATAGAATAGAATAGAAGGGATCTTGGAGGTCTTCTAATCCAGCCCCCTGCTCAAGCAGGAGAACCTATACCATCTCAGATAAGTGACTGTCTTGTCTTTTCTTAAAAACTTCCAGTGATGGAGTGCCCATGATTTCTGAAGGCACGTTGTTCCACTGGTTAATTGTCCTCACTGTTAGGAAGTTTCTCCTTAATTCCAGGTTGCTTCTCTCTTTGATCAGTTTCCAATTTATGGGTTTTACAAAATGGCCTAGTTGTTTGTGAATTTTATAAATGTCTGCCTGGCCTAACTTCACTTTATAGGTAGTCTTTGAGTTGCACTCCCTTTAAGAGAGTGCTCCTAATCTCAGCTTGTTACCTGTATAAAAGACAACTGGGAGCCAGAAAGCTTGCTGATAAATAGGGGATCAAATACTTATTTCACTCATTAAAATGCAAATCAAATGAAAAAAAATTATTTGATCCCCTGCTGATTTTGTATGTTTGCCCACTGACAAAGAAATGATTAGTCTATAATTTTAATGGTAGGTTTATTTTAACAGTGAGAGAATAACAACAAACAAATCCAGAAAAACACATTTCAAAAAAGTTATAAATTGATTTGCATTTTAATGAGTGAAATAAGTATCTAATCCCTTATCAGTCAGCAAGATTTTTGGCTTCCAGGTATCTTTTATACAGGTAACGAGCTGAGATTAGGAGCACTCTCTTAAATGGAGTGCTCCTAATCTCAGCTTCTTAACCTTTATAAAAGACACCTTTCCACAGAAGCACTCAATCAATCAGATTCCAAACTCTCCACCATGGCCCAGATCAAAGAGCTGTCCAAGGATGTCAGGGACAAGATTGTAAACCTACATAAGGCTGGAATGGGCTACAAGACTATCATCAAGCAGCTTGGTAAGAAGGTGACAACAATAGGTGCGATTATTCACAAATGGAAGAAACACAAAATAAATAATCTCCCTCAGTCTGGGGCTCCATGCAAGATCTCAGCTCATGGAGTTTCAATGATCATGAGAATGGTGAGGAATCAGCCCAGAACTACACAGGAGCATCTTGTCAATGATCTCAAGGTAGCTGGGACCATAGTTACCAAGAAAACAATTGATAACACATTATGCCGTGAAATCCTAAAGCACCCGCAAGGTCCCCCTGCTCAAGAAAGCACATGTACAGACCTGTCTGAAGTTTGACAATGAACATCTGAATGATTCAGAGGAGAACTGGGTGAAAGTGTTGTGGTCAGATGAGAGCAAAATCGAGCTCTTTGGCATCAACTCAAATCGCCGTGTTAAGTGGAGCAGGAATACTGCCTGTGACCCAAAGAACACCATCCCCACCATCAAACATGGAGGTGAAAACATTATGCTTTGGGGGTGTTTTTCTGCTAAGGGGACAGGACAACTTCACTGCGTCAAAGGGACGATGAACAGGGCCATGTACTGTCAAATCTTGGGTGAGAACCTCCTTCCCTCAGCCAGGGCATTGAAAATGGGTCATGGATGGATATTCCAGCATGGCAATGACCCAAAACACACGTCCAGGGCAACAGTGGCTCAAGAAGAAGCACATTAAGGTCCTGGAGTGGCCTAGCCTGTCTCCAGACCTTAATCCCATAGAAAATCTGTGGAGGAGGCTGAAGGTTCGAGCTGCCAAACGTCAGCTTCAAAACCTTAATGACTTGGAGAGGATCTGCAAAGAGGAGTGGGACAAAATCCCTCCTGAGATGTGTGCAAACCCTGTGGCCAATTACAAGAAACATCTGACCTCTGTGATTGCCAACAAGGGTTTTGTCACTGAGTACTAAGTCATGTTTTACGAAGGGGTCAAATACTTATTTCACTCATTAAGATCCAAATCAATTTATAACTTGTTTGAAATGCGTTTTTCTGGATTTTGTTGTTGCTATTCTGTCTCTCACTGTTAAAATAAACCTACCATTAAAATTATAGACTGATCATTTCTTTGTCAGTGGGCAAACATACAAAATCAGCAGGGGATCAAATAATTTTTCCCCTCACTATATGACTGTAATGGAGCCTGGAATTACAGTCATAAGTTGTGCCAATCATTAAATGGGTCATCATGTGATCTATACAATTTTACGACTTTTTTGGCTGTAGTTGTTAAGTGAGTCAGTATGATCATTAAGCAAATCCATGGTAATTAAGTGAACACTATGGTTGTTAAGTGAACCCATTGTTCGCAGTGGGTGTTTTTTGCCACAAAGTAAATGTCTGGCAAAAATTGTAAGTTTTTTTGTAAATCATGACCAAATGACCAAAGGATGCTGCAAACAGCCATAAATGTGGGTCAGTTGCTAAGAACCCAAAATACAATCATGAGACTGGAGCGGGAGGACAGCCATTGGAACTTCAAATCGAGGTTGTAAGAACCATTTTGAGCTCCATTGCTCCAA